CACATTGCCACAAACCAATGAGAAGGCTTGGAGATGACAGGGTTGGCCTAGGCCCCCTGGAGGGCATGGCCAAGCCCTGCTCAGGCTCATGTGGCTTAGTTCAGCTCCAGAGGGGCAGCCTTCAGGACTCCTCTTCCATTGTGGTGACTCCTCTTCCTTGGTTTCCTAGCCCTTAGGCAGTCCACTCATGGGCAGTGCTCAGTGGGCTGTGCCCCACCTCATCCTTATTCGGAGCTCTCTGGCATCTCCTGTCCTGCTTGGTCAGAGAGAATGTTCCAAGGCTGACCCTGTGGCTGGGGCTAGGTTTTCTCTACTGGCCTTCCTCAAAGGACTTCATCTGTAGTCCTCAGGGCCCATTCCAGCTGCTCTGTACCCCTTGGCCTGGACAATCTTGCCTTCATGGGTATCCTCTCTGGGGGAGGCTGGCCCTGATGCTTGAGACAGGAGCTAATCTAGGCCTGGAAATTCCAGACCCTCAAGAAGCTGGTACAGAGCAGAAATCCCCCTGAACATTTGTGTGGAAAACTCTTATGTGGCTGTAGTCCTCAGAGGGGCTGTCTGTCCCCAGGAGTCCCTACCTTATGCCAGCCATCCAAGAGACCTTTGAGTCACGTTCTTCCTATGATGCATACTTCTGTGCAGTGAGAAATACCTCCCAAACAAACACACCTAGATTTCAACTGTAAGTAGTTTCCATGGCAATGCAATCCTTGGCAGGGGTGCCCTTCCACAGTGGGCTGGGCTTCCTTGCTGGGGATCTCCTCCTGGATCCAGAGAAGGAGAGGGAATCCAGAACTTGATATTCTCTGGAATTACTCCAGGAATCTCTTGATGGATCTAAGGCTTTTGCAGAATGTGCAAAGTCCTGATGTGAGATGTAAAGGAAGTATGACCTTGTTGTCCATTGGGGAAGGGTTAGAAATAACCATAGCTTAAGGTAGCAGGGGACAGGAGCCAACCCAAATCAAAGGAGTCATTTGTCCTCAAGGGAAGAGCAAATAGGCAGGATTTCCTGGAGGAGGTAGCTTTTGAACTGTGCTTTGAAGAGAGAATAGTAGCCACTGAATGGGGAAAGGCCATGCAGGGAAAGGAACAGTGGAACAGATCGTGAGTAGGGAGAGGTCTGTGTGTTTGTAGAAGGAGGGGCCCTGATATTATGAGAATTGAGTGACACTCACAGTGTCTTGGGGTAGCTTCTAGGAAGGGAAGCCACAGAGTACCAGTGGGAAGAGGAAGAGTTTACTCAGCAGCAGCAAGGAACTGGGAGGGTTCAGGTGAAAAACTCTTAAAATAACCGAGAAGGGGAACCTGCTGGCTGGAGAAGACAACTTGGGTTTGGGTAGAGGCTTGGGCTTTAGTGGCAAGAAGGTTGCAGGGCCATGAGAATGTTTTGCAGCCTTGGGGGTAAGGTGGTCTGGGGCTTGTGGCAGCAGTAAGCTTGGCTTCTAGCCTCCTTCGTGTCTTGGGCTGTGTCCTAATTACTTTCTCGTTGCTGGGACAAAATACTTCACACCCATAAGTTAAAGGAAGAGAGGTTTCTCTTGGGTCACAGTCTGCAGAGGTTTCAGTCCATAGTTGGGTGACTTCCATGGCAGAAGGGCATGGCAGAAAACAGTTTATGGCAGGGGAGGTGGGGAGCAGCAAGAGATCAAGGGAGGAGGAAGGATGCATACCATTGCAGGCCATGCCCACAGTGACACACCTCTTCCCACCAGGCTTTGCCTCCCAACATCACACCCAGCTATAAACCCATCAGTGGATTAATCCAGTGATAAGGATCAAACACCCATGATCCAGTCACCTTCCAAAGGCCCCATGAGCCTTCTGAGCACATGAGGCTTTGGGAGGATATCTAGATACAAACCATAATGAGTTGAGGGGGAGACTCTAGGATGTCAGATCTACTTGCTCTTTCCCAAGGATAGGAGCCACTTCAACCCTGCCTCACAGCCAAGGTACAGCATTTTCTGCCTCAGGGAGGCACCTTCATTGGTGGACCCCTCCTTTCCTTTGTGGCTTTTGCTTCTCTCCCATCTCTCCACAGCACAGGCCTCATGGGATCCCTGCCCTCAGCCACCAGCACAGATACACAGATACACAACTGGAGGCAAAAGCCTAAAGAAATAGATATTGGCTATTTGATGCAGCTCACAGGCAAAGGGGACATGATCATCTGGCACAGTCAGAAACTGTGGCAAAATCCCCAGAGTTTCACTGAAGATCTTAGTGGAGTAGAGCCAGGCGTTACGCTGTGCAGCAGAGTTAAGTAGCTTTCACAGAGACCATATGTCCCACAAGGCTGAGAACATGGACTGTTGGTCCTTTCCTAAGAAGTAGGAGCCTGCTTTGGAGGACTATGTGCCGATCTGTCCTCATTCATCCTCCTACCTCTTTCTCTCTCTTTCCTCCTTGTCCCTCTCGCTCCTCCTCATCATCTTGTCCTCCTCAGGTCCTCCCCTCTCCTCTACTGCGCTCCTTCTGTGTCTGGCCCTGAGTCTGAGCTGGTCTCTCCTCTCACTGACAGGCCCTCTCTGAAGAAAAGACGCTGGTACAGGAGATTACCTGATTTGCCCTGGGCTGTACAACCAGAGCAGTGAAGGTTCCAGAATGAGGTTTTCTGCTTTTGCTCATGACTCTGTACTCTGTCCTCTGTCCTTCAGTACTTGGCCCCACAGTGGTGGCTGTAGTTTTCTTATATTCTTCTAGAGGAATTTAAATACTCTTGTAAAATGCAATTAAAATTATCTGGTACATCTCTCAATAGTTGAAGAAAAATGTTAGCTGCATTTCCATTTCTTCCTTTACTCATGGTTTAATCTGTCTGCTGTGGCTGAACATGTAGTGTGGACCATAGTGAGTTCTAGGCTATCCCACACTGACTGTTTTCCAGCCACAGGCACCAGCAGCAGGAGTTAGAGTCAGGTCCACAGTGTGATTGTCCTGGCTTAAGGCAGTGAAAGACTGGGTTGGGTCCCCAAGGTCTTCTGGGTTGGGGTTGCACTAAGCCTTGGGCCATATCTCTTAGATACTGATGAATATATTTATTGGTTTTGGTCTAAGACAGGTGAAAAAGTCACTGAAGGGCTTTGCAATAATTAAAACCAGAAACAATGGCTGTGGGGCTGTGGAGTAGTGACTCCTATAGTCAAGCAGTCTCTCCTGTCTCCCAGTGGAGCCCAAACCTGCTTTCACAAAGTGACAGAAGGTCACAGCTACTGTGTGTTAATTAAAAGCATAAAGCGCCAGAAACTGCAAGAGACTCAGAGAACTCAGGAAAGTGATGGATTTGGAATATGGGCCATGGTTTAGGGTTTGGTCCCTATGTCTCAAGGAGCCTTCTCTACTCTCTGACCTGACAGAGCTGCTCAGGGGACAGCCTGGAGCACTAGAGGTCATCACAGTGGGATGAGGGATTCCTGTCAGGTTAGGCTCAAGTGGTCCCCACCTCAGAAACATCTCTCAGCCCCACCAGCCATGGCAGAGACAAGAATGGGACCTGCACAGTAATGAGGGCTGTGCCTCTGAGACAGAGACAACCACAGAGGGAGTCACTTAGGCTCTCCCACTCTGGAGGCGAGTGAGGTCCCTCGTTACACAATGAGCATTTCCTTCCATCAGTGTCCCAACCACATTCAGGCAGAGGGAGGCCTTGGTCAGAGTAAGGGAGGCACCAGAGCTCCTGGGTTTTGGCCAGACCCCTCCACCTTCAACAGAGGAGTCAGGTGTGACACACGTGTGGCTCAACTGGGTGTCCCATGCCATATCACCCAAACGTCCCATCATCCACTTCAGTACGCTTTCACTCCCTGTGCTCCGCCCAGAAGCAGCACTGGACACTGGTCAGGTGCTGCCTGTGAGTTCCCGCCTCTTAGCCAAACACACAACTCTCCACAGTGGTCTCTGAGAGCCTATTAGCGCCCTGACATATCCAACCCCAGTAGTCCCTAAGTATATATTGCCTCCCTGCAGCTCCAGGCTCTGTGCTTCATAGTGTGCAAATGATGTAATGGTGCTGACTCTCTAAGGTCCCCACCCCACACTTCCGAGAGACTCAGGCCCTTCCTACTGACCTTAGAAAAGACCACACTTGTGCTGCTCATCTCTGGGCCCTTGAGCAGACTTTGCAGTCTCAGAGGTGCTGTGGCCTTGTGACCAGGGAGGTCAATCCTTACATGGCCTTCACCATAAGGACTCTGAAGCCCAAGACCATACACTGGGATATGCACACATCCAGAGGGAAGACTGCAGTTGATCTGAGCCACAACCCAGTGTGTGCCTCTGGCTGCACATTCTGTATCCACTCAGCTTCTGTGCAGGCCTGAAGTGACATACCTTATTCTCACACAGTCCACGTGGCACATGCTTTCCTTCCCAAAGGCCAACCTCAGCCAAGGCCCCCATCATGAGGTTGTGTCCTCAGAGGACATACCACTCAGTCTGAGACCTCTGACCCAGCAATAGCTACTGGAAAAAACATGCCACTTATGTGAGCTGAGGGTCAGGGAAGTTCCCCTTGGCAGGAACTGGTCACTCTGAGCCTTATCTCCTTGAGTCTGTCACCAAGTCATGTTGTGACACCAGCCAGAGCACTCTGGTGCTGAGCTGTGGTTTCCTCCTACTCCTAGGCATCAGTAAAACCCTCTTGGCTTCACAGTGACCTTTCTTCTACAGTGGCTAATGATGGCATTAATCATAAACCCAAAGTAATTGCCCTTCCCTGGGCTTGAGCTGCTGAACCACCACAGACAATCACTTCTCAAGGAAGCCCCTGCAGACATGCCAATCTCTGTGTGCTCTAAACTGAAAAGAAAGAAGCGAACAGGGCTTCCAGTGCTCTTGCGTGCCAACAGCAAGGGTCAGGGCTGGGGCAGGCATCAAGGCAGCAGCCGAGGGGACTGGGGGCTATTGTGTCCTAGCTGACACTCATTGTCCTGGTCACAACATCGTCATAACACTGTGCTTATCTCTGTAACTGGGAGCCAAAGCAGATGGCTGAGCCATGGCCTCATAGGGTTCCAGATGGAGGGGGGCTCCCTGGAACATCTCAAGAGCTGAGAGGGGCTGTCTAGGTGAGTAAGGAATGAGGGATTCAGGGAAAGATGACTCAGGAGGAAACCATGCAGTACAGGCCAGGAAACAGCAGGGGATAATCTCTGGGCCATATCAGTGGGGTGGATGCATCTGCTTGGGGACTCAGGCCTACCTGTTGAGGCCCAGCTTCTAGCCAATGGGCTAAGAAGCTGAACATCCTTCTGACCTCAAGGCATTCCATCTGTACTTCCAATAGACACAGTGCTGTGAGCGTGTTGCCAGGCTGAGTAGAGTTCAGGTGAACTGATGTTTAAGGACCAGAAGGTTGAGTCCACCTGCCAGTTCAGCAGGGGACACCTTGGTATGCTCTGCTCCCTCTGCCCACCCCATGAGAATGCATCTCATTCTCCACCTTATGGTTGGTCCATAGGCCAGCCTCATGCTGAGATCAAGGCCAGCACTGGACAAGCAAAAGTGGAGCAGGAAGCTCTAAGACTTCAAATCTCAATAGCACACAGTGGTAAGGTGACAATTATCTGCTAGATTCAGGAAGGTACAGTCCCTGGGAGGGGTGAAGTCAGCAGGTAAGTGACCTAGGAGACAGGCAGGGGCTTATAGCTCTACTCTTCATCTTCAAGGGATGCACATCCATAGCCCTCCCTACTGAGCTTAGTGCATCCATGCAGTCCAAGCACAGGGAACCAGCACCAGGGCCAAGCACTCTGCTGTGTGGAACAGGGACATCCCTGCTGGAATGTATCTCCCTGTCCATGTGTTGGCGTGTCTGCATGTCTGTCTCTCACACACGCCCATATCCAACCAGCTCCAGCTGGTTGTGTGAATCACAATAACTCACCAACTGCTCAGTCACCACCTTTTGCAGACACATTCAGTAAAGACTATTTTTGGAAACAACACTAAACCCATAATTTCTTTGCATAAAGCAGAATAATTTTCACATAGTAGCTGGGGAAGTCCCAAACATACTTGTTTCTGTTAAACTAATTTGTATGTTTATGACGCTTAACCTTGTTTAAGAAAAATTTACTGAAAAAACAACATTTGTTCTTATGTTTGTCTCAGCCCTTTCTCAGCCTTTTCTTGAAATGAGCGTTCATGGGCGTTTTTTGTTGCAATGTTGGTAGCTGCATGATGCAGCTCCAACTGCTGTGTGGAGAATTTCCGTATCAAGTCAGGTCTGTTGTGATATAATATGTGGGGATAAAGAATATTCTCTTTGGGTTCCTGTAATTCACTGTATCTTATAAGCTAATAATTCTTTTTAGGGGGTTTGAGATATGATTTTTGCTTCATCATATTTCATCTAATATTTGAATTTAAAGAAAAATTTCCTTGTGAAACCGATCAATAAATGCCCGCCCAAGTGTGTTATCTGTACTCACAAAGACATAATGAATTCCAGGAGTAAATGAATGCTAAACTAGCATTCCATAGGGACAACTTTCCTCTTTTTGTGAAATGTGAAATAATCCTATAGTCCTGCCCATCTCTTGCCCTGTACACTCCAGCTACCTGTTTGTTCTTTCTCCTTCTCTCATCTCCCTCATGCATGAAAGCATCCATCCACCCACCTATCCATCCATCTACTGCTTGTCCACCCACCCACTAGGCCAACTACCTACCCCCCCTCTATTCACCCATATAACCACCCTTCCATCATTCATCTTCCATCACTTCACCTCCTATACATACACCCATCCACTAACACTCCCACACGTTCATAATTCATCTATCCACTCACTCATGTATTCATCCGCCCTTTCACTCCATTCATCCACCCATCCACCCATCTGTCCACCCACTGTTCATCCATCCACTCGCCTGCGTAAGCATCCGTATGTCCACCCAGCACTCATCTGCTTGTGTATCTATTGGTCACAGTAGGTGACCGGGGCTGTGCAGAGGATGAAAAAAATTACTTGGAGGTGAGACTTGGTCTGAACACTGAGAGGGCCTGAAGGGCTATCTCAGTGGAATGCTTCCAGCATTAGGGAGACTCCCAGGAGTAGCCTTGAACCTGAGGTTCTCTGGCTTTTATTTAGAATATCAGTGTAAGAGAAAAAATCAGAAGAAAAGCAGGCAGTCTGGGCAAGTAACTGACTCAAGGCTAGGCAGTGTCTTGGGGAAGCGGGAAGGACAACAGCCAGACACAATATGCTTCGCTAATCTAAATTTCTTCTTTAACCATCACTCTTCACAGAGCCTGAATGCTTCTGCCTTGAAGTTTAACCATTTGCTCCTTGGCCAGGTCTCCCATATCCATCCATCCACTTTTCCATGCAACATATTCTAACCTGTGAGAAATAAATACTCATGTGCCTTAGAGAAAGACATAAGGTTATCAGTATTTTTCCTCAGAACCCAAATCTAAAGGTAGAATGGAAAACCTGCAGCACAGTCACATAAGGAATCCCATCCAATAGTGACTGTTACTCACAGAAGTGCGGTTTACCATGCCCTTTATGTTGAGCCAGGGTCAAGTGGTCTTGTGGCTTGTGAATCTCCTGCTTCTCAGTCTGGTTGCTATCTTAGAGCATGCGTGTGAGGTGGTATCCTTTGCAACACAAATGCTTGTGTTATACCCAGACAGCAACTGTGGATCTGGGGGTAATCTCTCCCTAGATAGGGCTGACTCACTTCCTAAATAGGGTCCTGAATGAGAAAGGACCAACCTAGAAGGTAGAGGAGAAGTGTCATGAGGCAGAGAGTCAGTATTCTCCTCACTCCTTTTCAAGCTGCACTGGTCAGCAGGCTCATCTAACTGCTGGTGGCGGAAGAGGGAGGGCTCAGCCATGTGACTTCCAGCTGAAACCAGGCCTCTGCACACTTGCAGCACCCTTAGGGAGGAGGTTGGAGCAAGCACAGAGAGTCTGATTCACCATCAAGGGAAATGCTGCCTGCCACAAGCCAGAGAAGATTCTTGGACTGGACTTTTTTTTTTTCAATGCCCTAAATTTAAACAGCTAGAATTATTCTTTGAGAACCATCATATTTAACCTTTAGAAATGATTGGCCTCCTAATGGGGTGTCTGTGTTAGACTGTGTGGCTGGAATGTGACATGGGCCTTATTTCTTACAGCATTTTTCCTTGCTTGTGCTCTGAGCATGGAGCAATATCAAGAGCAGCCATCCAAATCACCAAAGTCTATTGCACATTTACTGTGTGCGGGGCAGGATGTCAGCCAAGCAGATGTGAAGGGGCATCTGTGTTGGCCCAGCAGAGATAGCCCTTGCCTTCCCTCCTGGAGTCCTGATGGACTCTGAGCAAGAGTGTAACCTGATCATGGAGGCCTAGAGTTGGCAGGGGGGTTGCTGGTCACCTGGCTGGCACTTGGGTCATAGGAGGCCTCTGAAGGGAGCAGCCTGCTTGGTTCTGGGCTTAGAGCCCAGAGATGGGGTCTCATAATTGGTTAGGTGACAGGAAAGAGGTAGGTGCCCACTTGACCTGTTGTGGATGATTCCATAACTGCACTTAGGGATGGAGGGAATGTATCCCATCACATGCCCTTGGTCAGATGGTAGCCAATAGGGAGTGGCCTCTCCCTTTGGCAGCAGCAGGATGGTCTGGGCACTGGCTTGCTACTGGGGTTGGGCAGGTGAGATGAGCCCAGGCTCTCCAGCACCTGTAGCTTCCCAGAGAGGGCCTCTGCTCTTTCTCCTGCTGTCCCTCAGTAAAGGGAGCTGGGAAGGCTGCAAACCATGGCCTCTCTCTGGACTGCATGGGTTGGAGTTTTTCCTGGAGGTGGGGGAAGTTCAGGTAGCTATGGGGACATGTGTGGTCTTGCTGAGCCCTGGATATGTAACATCTTGTCCTTTCTGAATATTTGTGAAAATGACCAGTGTAGTAACAATCAGAGCAGGCTTTCTCTCAGGAAGACACTAGATTCACCCAGTGCTAGAACAGTGCCAATAGTATTAATATGTTATGTCACGTATGTTCAGACAGGACTTTAGTCTGGCTGTTTTGGACCCAATCTGACAACTGGAAAATGTGATCTTCACTGAGCCAGGCTGGAATCTTCCAGGAAAGACTGCTTGGTATCTCCTTGCTTGTCGTTCCCATTTCTTGGCTTGGTGAGTGAATGAGTGATCTCAGTGAACAGTCAGGCATGGGAGGGTCACTTTTGTATCTGGTATGCTGATGTTAGACCTTAGTGCCTGGACAGTGAAGTGGAGTCCTTAACAGAGGAATGACCTTGAAGTCCTATTTCAGGAAATCACTTACATTGGGGGAATTCTTGACTCCGTTATATAATGGAAAGTGAGCATGATGCGTTAATTTGATTTTCCCTTGAAAATGTATTAATGCAGGGGCTAGGTGACTTTCAAAAACTGGCTGCTTCTCCCTCTGAGTGAAAGCAGGCCCAGCAAGGAGGCTTGTCTACATCCTCAGAACCCAGGCCAGGCACAAAAGAGAACCAAGGGTAGAGTTCTCCAGGATAAGTGGAGATGACAACTCTTTTATGCTGGGTCCTGGGTTCCAGCTTAGCTTAAAGCCTGGCTCTGCCTGCTAATTTTGCTAAGGCTGCCATGGAAAGGTCACAGGTGTATGTGCTTATGGCTGTGTGGAGTTAGCCACAGGTGTCTGTGCTCTACGCAGTGCCCTGAGAATCTATAAGGAGAGTCCTGTTTGCCTGATCAGCTGCTGATTACAGCCACTGGCCAGATAATGAATGCATGCCTTAGATTAAAATGCACAAACCAAGGCAAGAAGGGAACTCCTTCCCAAGCCAGTAATGGCTTATGACTGTGCCGGTCACACAGAGCCAACATCTTCCCTTGTGCAGCACATGTAATGTGGAGCAGAGTGGCCACATGTGCGTAGCTAACACAGCCATCATTAAGACTTAAATTCAGCCACCAGAGGTGCCCCAGAGGGACTGGAAGGCCAGGTTCCTGCCCAGCAGCTCCCTGAAGAGTTCTTGGCTGGATAGGTGCCTTAGTTACTTCTCTTTTGTTGCTGAGACAAAATACCCAAAAGTTAAGTGAGGAAAGGTCTTTTTAGCTCACGGTGTGTAGCGGTTTCAGTCCAAGGCAGGGTGGCATATGGCAGAGGGGGCACTGGTTCATGGCGGCTGACAGGAAGTAGCAAAACAAGGGAATTTAACAGTGTCTTTCTGCTCCTTTTATCTTATGCAGACTGCTTAAGGCAGGTAGCATTAACACCTTTAATCTTAGTGCCCTTGAGCCTAGCATTGTACCATGAATCAATCACACACTCTAGATTCAGCCACTTATGAAAAAGCCCCTTTTACAAGTACATGAGGCTTTCAGGGGACATCTAGACACAACCATAATAGTAGGTTATGCAGATGTCAACCTCCAGCCAAGGCCTCTAGGTTGGGCTTCTGGAAGCCTGAGGAACAGTAAGGTTCTGTGCCTTGAGGAGCCTTCCATGTCCACAGAGAGATCTTTGTTCCCTCTAGATTATTTTAAATCACTGTGTTGACTTGGTGGAGGCATGGGGCGGACGGCTAGAATCTCTTTATTTCTCAGGGAGAAGGTAAAATTCTCTAAATCCCTCTGAGTGTTTGGGGAGAAATGGAAAGCAAAGAAGTAGAAATGGAACAAAGGTAAGTGGATGCAGCTGCCTTCTAGACAAGCCCTGGGGGCTGCCCCATGCCTATGCACCAGGGACGAGAGTGTGAGGCGGAATCCAGGACTGCTGTTTGACATCTGAGTCAGACTGAGAATTCCATAACCTTAGTGAAACCTGCAGAAGGAGCACTGACCACCCCCCAAATGTGGCTAAGGGTGACAGGTATAAATCAAGAGAGCACCTTATTCATTAAGCTCAGCCCTGGCCAGGTGGGGCAGTCAGCCAGCACCGTGGCTGAGACATAAAAAAGGCCTGGTCAGACCACCAAAAAAAAAAAAAAAAAAAAAAAAAAAAAAAAAAAAAAAAAAAAAACAACCCCAA